AATACTTATGTCAGGGGGAAAATATCAACATTTGCTAGCATTCACTTGAGCTGGTTGGTGCTGGCACCTAAAAAGCATACCTCCAAAATAACTTCATAGAGTGCATTTATGGCATAGAACAATTTCAGACCATAAAAGTATTGTTTCCAGTTCATATAAGAACTACATATTAATTTACCAAAGTGTCCTGGTTTTGGCTGGGACACAATTAATTTTCTTAGTAGCTGGTACAGTGTGTTTTGCATTTAGTGTGAGAATAATATTGATAACGCACTGATGTTTTAGTTGTTGCTAAGTAGCGCTTATCCTAAATTAAGAAGCTGGGAGGGAGCACGGTCAGGACAGCTGATCCAAACTAGCCAAAGGGATATTGCATACCACAGAACATCATGCTCAGTATATAAACTGCAGGGAGCTGGCCAGGAGGGGGGATCGCTGCTCGAGCATTGGTCAGCAGGTGGTGAGGAACTGCATTGCGCATCACTTGTCTTTTCTTTTTTTACATCATATTCCTTTTCAATTATTGTTATTATTATTATTATATTGTTATCATTGTTAGTATTATATTTTATTTTACTTCAGTTATTAAATCATTCTCATCTCAACACACGAGCTTTACTTTTTTTTCCAATTCTCCTCCCTAACCCACCAGGGGAGGGCAAGGAGTGAGCAAGTGGCTGTGTGGTTCCTAGTTGCTGGCTGGGGTTAAACCATGACATAAAGAAAGTCAAAGTGAAATAAAAAATAAAGCGATAGAGTAGTCACAAAGAATGACTTAAAACAAATGTATGTTATCTGAAAATAAATGCAAATATACTTCCCTAACAATTATTTCCCAAATTAATCCCATAAATATGCAAGTAATTTCTTTTGTAACTAACTTCTTGAAATAAACATTCAATGTATGTCTGCTAACATTAATTCCATGATTACTAGAATCTATTCAGAGTACAACTACTTTATGTAAAAAACAAAGCCTTCTGTCTTCCTTTATAATTCAAAACTAGCAAAACCAACACACCAACATTATAATAAACAATCCTGAGATACTAAAGGTAATTATAATCTAGCATCCAAAAGAGATTAGTTCTACCCAATAAACATACACAGTAACAGGTTTACAATATTGTAGTAATTCTAACCAAGAGGTACCACCAAGCCACTTCTTTACTTAGGAACATTGCACTTTAACTGAATTAAAATAACAGTGCTGCAATACTAGTTTCCAGTTTGGGAGCTTTTTTGTTTGCTTGTTTTTAATCTATCAAAATCAATTGCAACTCTTGAAAATCATCCACATACTGAATGTGCTTCAGTTGTTTTTACTAAGAAGTTATCTTTCCATCTTGCTTTATTTTACACAGTTATAAAGCTGTGAAGGCATCACCGTGACATAAATCAGAACACTCGCATCTATCTCCAGGCACACCAGAATTAAATATGACACTCACTGTAAAGCCACAGTAACTGCTTTCCAGTTTGAGAACAAAACCACACATACCACGCATAGATGGTATAACTATGGACAACTGCTAAAAGCACAAAAGCTTACATGTGTCGATATGAACATACAAGGAGTTTTAGTACTTACATTACAACTGCATAGCATATACAGCATTAGGCAGAATCCCTATGAATTCAAACAGCTTTCTACTGCACTTAATCAGCACTTTAGTACTATCTTTACAAGCAAGACCATCCCCTCACATTCCGCAGTTATGCATATGTTTGAAAACTGGCACTGATCCTTTCATCAGCAGTTTCAGCTTCTCCAAACCAAAACGCTTAGCAGATGCCTAGTTATCTGACTAAATAAGCATCTCTCATTACTCCTCTTAACAATATTTTCTGATATCACTTAGCCTCATGTGCATCTTAGTAATTTTAAAGTTATTCTAAGTAAAGACTTTGCAACATAAGGAGGGCAAGCAATATTAATTAAATTTAGCAAAATTTATCAGATGACATCCAAATAGCTGATGTGCATAACAAAGATGTTTAAGAGAAAAGCTGCTTACACTAGTATCTTAAGTATACCGCAGCCTTCAAGAGCCATCTTTTCTTTCCAAATGCTGCAAAACCTGAGAATGTTAATACAGACCTTACAAAAAAAGTGAAGCTGAAAAGGTCTAAGAATTTCTTCTGCAGACACACTTTTCTTTTCCTAACTGACAGTCTTGCCTCTAGGTGGGTTTCTCTTTTTTACTGAGGAGATGCATATACCCCAATGGAGGCAAAGAACTTTACGGAAGGTGAAGTGCCTTTAAGATCAGGATCAATTTCCTGAATGAAACAAAGAATCAGCTCTTCAGTGCAGCATTTTCTGGTCCAATATTCTTTCACTAATTTGACAGCCATGAATAGAGAGTTTCTCTTCTGCTGACATATGCTGTTTGGGAGAAAAACACAGAAGAAACAACAATAACAAAAAAAGAAGAACCAGCCATTGCTAAACATTCTTCTGCTGGGGGAAAAGAAATAGTAAACATTCTCTCAACCTTGCTTATAAACTACAGTAATTTCACTAACCCCTAATTTGAAGACCAGATCACAATACAGTTTTTTATCAAAAGTTAATATATTAGGACCACCAACAGGAAACTACTGCTTTCAAGAGCACAACTAAGAGGATGCACAGCAAAACAATCCAAGTTCAGCTCTGATGCCAGAGTTCAGTGCATTTTTTCCGCTGGTGGCAAATATTTGGCAGATTTTCACAATGTCAGAGTAACAGTCTTTCCCTTTGGAGGAAAAAACCCACAACATTTCTCATCCCTAATCTGGAAAAATCCTGTATTTGTCTGTAAATTATGACACTTACCTCAAAATTAGAAGATGAACCAGAGATCATACCACATAAAAACATTTTATGCATTTTTGAGATCACAAACACATTCACCTGCTACAATGACTTAAGTATATTGTAAAACTTAATCATTTAACTTGGGCATCTGCAAAAGCTCTTTTGAGCAAACTTCTTCTTACTATTCCAGTTACCGTTAAGCACAGGACTTTTAAGCACAGGATTTGTGCTAGTGAACACCAAAACTTCAGGACAAACCAAAAAACTCTTTTCCTTTTTGGAGAAGAAAAAGCTCAGCATTCCCTAATCCAATAGTAAGGTCTTTGTACATTAGGCCTATGATGAATTCATTACATAAGGGTTATAGTTCTTTTCTCCCCAAAGATTTTCCAAATCATGGGAAATACAAAAGCTTTTATCTCCCAATAGTAGCATACTAGGTCAATTTGTCTATTGAACTTTTAAGACCGTGGGAAGGTTAGGAAACGTTTTGAGGTCAGGCTTTAAGATAAGGTCATTGTCTACACAAGAACGTCCAATCAATTTTAAAACAAGAAGTTGAAATACAGTTTCATCAGGTAAAACCTCCATTTCCAGATCACCTATACTGGAAGAATATTTTTCTCCTATGTATTTTATTTGGAAGGCCCAAGTACTGACACAGGAGGGACTGATCTTCCCCGTGTGCTCTGTGGTCTCAGCACACAGGAAAAGCTGGTTTTGAGCTATGTAATACAATTCAAGGGTAAAATTTGAGTTCTTCCTCATCTTTCTGCATGGTAATCCTTCCATATGCTGTCAACAACAAATTTCAAGAGGAACTATAAAACCTACTATAATATAGGTAGGTCTATAAGAGGTCTATAAAACCTACTTCATTTCAGAGCCACATTTCCATCAGTATAAACACCCATACTACAAACTCCTATAAATCATCCACGTAAGGCCCCAAGACATGACCACCACTAAAAAAACATTCTAAGAAAAATAGGTATCTCATTTCTTCACCCTCCAGGCCCAAAAAATGATGTCTTGTTTTCTGTCATTCTCCCATACCACTTCCTGATTACTAACTTCATATATATATAAACAGTTTAATTCTTGCTGCAATCCACAAACAACAACCTAGGAAAACATCTAAGGCCCCAGTCCTGAGAGCACAGAGACACTCATTTAAATTTAAGCATGTGGGAAACTCCAGTGCAGTCTTGGAAGCGGCTCTGGTGTTTGACAACAAGCACATCAACACACGTGTTGAGACCTCAGCCATGAAAAGATTGTGGCTCCAGGACAAGTGAACCACATGCCCCAAACCAGCCCCTCAGAGAGATCCTGCAGCAGAGGCAGTTTCTAACAGAAAACTCAAGAACACATTTAAAGGGCAGGTGTTGAGGGCCCCAAAGGGACCCCTCAACCGGGGTTCCCACAGAGGCAGTCTGACTTTCAAAGCACTTCGGAGCTACATGCAGGAACCTCAGCTGGCGTGCCACTGTAAACCGTGGATCCCCACAGCTACCGGCAGCCCGCTGCCGAGGGGCAGAGCCTGATTCAGGGACACGCACACATCCCGCCCCCCCCAAAAAAACTTTCAGGAGCGCGGCACAGCGGGCGAGGGCAGAAGCTGCGGGCCGCGGCAGGGAGGAGGGAGTGCGGGCAGGGCCGGCCAGGCCCCGGTGCTGCCGAGGGCACGCCACACCAAAGCCTCGCATGAGACGCGGCCGCCGCCGCCGCGAGGAAGAGCAAGCACCGACGCCCCGCGCAGCGCAACCCCTCCGGCTGCACCGCCGGCCGACAGACGGGGGTGCAGGGCGGGGAAGGGCTGGCAGCGGTACGACGACCGGAGGCGAACAGCCCCAGCAACCGCCGGCCGCCCGCGCTTCGCAACGTTGCATCCCAACGAGCGAGGAAAAAAGCCGTCGCCGCGCCGGCCACCGACGCGCAGCGGGCTCCCTGCACCCGCGGCTGGCCGGGCGACGCACGGCCTGTCGGCAGCCCCCGCTCTGCTGCGGCCAGCGGGAGTTTCTCCTCTGTCCTGTACCACTGCTCACCCCCCACCGGGGGACGGACCCCCCGGGGCGGCCGCGACTTCGGGCGCTGCGGAGGACAACTTCCAGGCCCTCTGGGACGGCTGCGCTGCCGGGCGGGGGCGAAACGCCCCGAACTACTCCCCCTCCCGCGGGGCCCCCTTCCCGCTCACCTGGTGGCGGGCCTCTGGCGCCCGGGGCGGTGCGGGGTGCGCCGTGGCCGGCGGGGCTACCCCGGCCCTGGCTGCGTGCTCCTGGCTCCGGCAGGCTGGGCCCGTGGAGGGGTGGCGGCGGTGGCGGGCAGAGGGCGGGGGGCGGCGGCAAGCGAGCGGCACCGCCGCTCATGGCGAGTCCGGGGAAGCCGCAGCGGGAGCGAGCGCGGGTGCGGGGGGGCGCCGGGAGGAGGCAGGCAGCCGAGGGGGAGG